TGGATTGGTCTCTGAATACATTTAGGGAAGTAACAAGTGAATCTAATATTAGGAATATTAGAAAAGAATTGGAAAAATTCACCGAGAGCATTCTTATGCTATAAGTAAACTAGGTGCTGACATACAAATCAATGTAAAGAATATATATGTGTTGAATAGGGTGATGGAACTAATCAAAGTCAGAGGTTTCATTCAAAGAGATTTTTCAGCTCAGAAAAAATGAACAAGATTATGATAAATGCTGTGAACTCAGTGTCATGCAGAGAAGACAATTTGGGAATGATTATTTACTTGTTTTCATGACAGAAGAAACAGGGAACATCCAGTGGAATTATTGCACATAAAAAGAACAAATATGATTTCTTTCTTTTTTTAATAGTGGGAAATAACTTGTGGAACTCATTGTCAGGGAATTTTTTCCAGCTAAAAAAAAAAGACACTGATGTGTCACAAATTTATCCATTGAAGACAGACAGGATGAGAATGCAGTTTCTGTCTTGAGAAATCTCTTGTCCTTCTAAATATAAGTTGACTTTCCAATTTCACAGGCACTGGGCATTTTGTAATAATTTCAGCAGACAAACTGTTTTTTAAAAGAATTTCAAAATGTGTTGGTTTTAAAAGTAGGTATTTTACAAGTTTCACAGTGTGCAATTCATAAGAATTTTGCCTAGTCACTCATTAAACATCTATTTAACTAATATAATTTCCTAATATTCGATTTTTTTTTTTAAGTAAAAGCATTCAGTTTTTGTTAGCATAAAATCGTTTTGTTTTGTTTTGTTTTGTTTTGTTTTTCCTTTTAAATTCCCTTTTCAAGACTGGAAATCTGAAGGAAACAATCCCTTTAGGAAGATGGGCAAACTCAGCTTGTTCTCATGCCATGGCAATGGTGACTGTGGCTTTGCTGCAGTGGTGATGGCTCCAGGCAGTGCTCACTTTAACACACCCACAGAAAGCTTAGTTATTTCTTCCCTTCACCCTTCCACCACACATCCCTTTGACCATAACCAAATCCCTCCACCCTGTCCACAGAAAGCTGGGGCTGTGCCCTTCTTCTCCCATCTTGCAGGTGATCAGCTGCAATAGTCTGTGTCTGCTCCATAATGCCTGGAACAGAATTGCCTATGGGCAGAGGGTGGCATGAGCCGTGGGACAGTTACTTGCACACAGGCCATGCTGATGCTGTGTAAATTCTTAGCTACAGAATCTCACTCTGTGCATCAGGGAAACACCCCCAACCTCGGCTGGGATCTGTTCTGTCCTGTGTGCCATCCTGGAGGTGTCACAGCTTGGGACCTCTCTGTCCTGGTACTGGTATGGTGGGAAATGATTAGTGCAAGCCCTTGCTGCAGGTGACTCGCAGAAGGGGACCGGTAGAACTCAACTAGTCCTGGGGTGCCCAGAAAAGGGCATCGCTGTGCTTGTGCCACTCCTGAGGGTGTTTTCTAACTTGTTCTTCAACATTCCCGTTGGTAGTTTTGGTGACCTCCATCGGCTGCATGCGCGGAAGCGCTGGAGATATCCCGAGGGGGAACAGCGGTATGTGCGGGCACTCGGACACGGACCAGCCTTCGCAAAGCAGCATCCTCCGGCTCCGCAGCCTGGCGAGCGGAGAACTCCTGTGGGAGCCCCGCACATCAGCCGCTCCCGGTGGGGTGGGGCAGGCGGGGCGGAGGTCCCAAGGCTGTCCCAAGGCGGGCGCTCCCCCGCGCCCCGCCGCCGGGACTCTCGCTCCGTGCGCTGAAATGGCTCCCGGGAGCCGCAGCTTCACCTGACCGCCACACGGGTGTGCTCCTCCATACCGCACGGCGCCGCCGGGCCCGCACCGCGCCGCGGGACGCCGCGCCCCGCCGCCCCGCCAGCGCCCCGCCGCGGGGTCGGCCCGCCGTGGGCAGGCTGAGCTGGCCAGGGTACTGACCCGGCCCGGCCCCGCCGGCGGCACGGCTCCCGGTCCGCCGACTTCGGAAAACATTTGGCATCCTCTGGGGCTCTCACATCTGGAGTTCTTCTTTCGCACTCCTGGCAGGAGCTGCTCGGTTCCGTGTTTTGCCGGGCAGTTTATTACTTTTTTCTCTCTCTCTTTTTTTTTTTTTCTTCATTTTCCATCGAGTCTCAGGGAGGCAGTGAGTGCCGTCCTGCTCACTCGGGGCTGCCCTGCCCAGAGCCTCCGGGATACCCTCCTCCTTCTTGGGCTCCTTGCATCTGTCTCTTTTCTGTTTCATCCTTTAAGATGTGGGGACTGTGGGGTCCTGGCTGTCTGTGTCCCTCGGGTTGCTCTTGCTGACATTTCCCCTAAGCCTTCAGAAGCTGTGATCTGCCACCCGTTTTCTCTTAGTGCTTCTTGTTCAGCAGAGTGGCGCAGAGGCTTTGCCTCCTTCCCTGCACTGACTACAGCCTGGTGGGCTGTGAGGGACCAGGTTCTGAGTGCTTTGGCAAGCTGCATATCCAAGACATCTGCCCACTGTTTAAGCTGGAGCTACAATGACTATGGGTTTCACCTCCATTTTTAGGTCTTGGGCAAGTTTCTTGGCTCCTTTAATCTGAGAAGACAAGACCTTGTGTGTCTTACCTCCGCTTCCTGAATGTCTGCAGTGACAGCTCTCTGAGAACCCCATGAAGATAACTGTCAGAGAGTGCTCCCACCTCTCTGCCCTGCATGCCTTCTGCCAGACTCTCCCAGGGATTTCCCTAAATGTGACGACTTCCTTATGCTAATCCTCATCACAGCAGCGTTATCACAACACTGCTCCTGCTCTTCATTCCTGAGCCTGCCCTTTGTCCCCAGGCCCTGCTGACAGTGCACACAGAGCCATCTGTGGTCCCCAAAGATGGAGGTCACGCAGGACCCATTGATGTGGCTTCCTGCACTCCCCAGGGTCCTGGCCCCTGAACCTAGTCCTGGGGCAATGGTTCCTCCACATAGGTCCACATTGGCCCTGGTTTGGGTTTTAGAAGTCCTCCATTCCTTTTAGCAAACAAAACTCCCTTATAGCAGTTTGAAGAGAATTGGAGACAGCATATTGACCATCTAGTTTCAAACCTCTCTGCCTCTCAATGTTCTCCTCCTTCAGGGCCTCCTTGATGTGTTTTGCTCCATTTTGTCTCGGGGTGGGGGGGTGTACAACTGTTGCCTTCAGTTCTGCAGAAAAGGAAATCCATCACCTAGGAAGGTGAATGGCTATTGCTGGGTCCAGGTGACACTGGTACTGTAGTAATAGCCTTTCTGGTGTGGGAGAGAGGTAAGGTTGTATTTCTCAATCTTCAGTTCTCCAAATATTTCACACAACAGCAGTTCAGGATTTTATTTTATTTGGGTAGAGACCCAAATCTTACACAGTGCCTACCTAAGAGATTGTGCACTAAAGCACACGGTCAAGGGGTGTGTGCCCATTATCTGCAGAGGAACATTATTCCTTCCTCTTGATCCATCTCATCTCCCCACCCAGATGCTTCTGTGCTGGATGTAGAAACACTTTTTGTGATTATATTTTCATGATAGCTGGATGCTGCCCTGTATCCACTCCTGAGTATGCTAGCTGTGGATGGAGAGAGAACTCATGTCCCTAACTACAGACCACGGGTACTTTAATGACATTGCTGTTCTGAGCTGTCTGCTTTAGACAGACTTTAGAGAAGCTGTGCTAATCCCAAACTATGCAGGAAAGAGAACACAGCCTGGGCAAGACAAGTGTAGTGACTCTAGGAGGACGCTCAGAGACAGGAATATAATGTGGCTTCCAGTCCTTCACCTCAGGTTTGGAGGCAGTTCCCTGGCAGCCCAAGATAGAGCGGAGCTTTGAACCTAAGTTTGCTGAACCTGAGATTGGACACTTCAAAAGACAGGGGTATGACTATTGAAAGCAACTTTGGTGTTCCTTGATGCGCATAACAATAGTGGTGCTGGAGCGTTTGTGTGGAGCAAGATGTGAGTCTCTTCTGACAACAAGCTCCCTCAGCAGCTTCTAGCTAGATGGGAATTGAACCAAGCTGGAATGTGTATGTGGAGCAAGACATCACTCTCTTCTGGCATAAACTCCTTCAGAAACTTTTGGCTAGATGGGAATCAAACCAAGCAAAGAGCAACCTCATGATGCAAAGGGTGACCTCATGCAGTGTGGTGGAAGAACTCCAACTTCCACCCTTCCTTATCAGAACTGGCCGCCTAAGGTTTTCTAAGAACTAGACACAGCATCTGGTGCCTGTGGATCTGAACATGTTGCAGAGTTTATTAAACTCATAAGGGACCTTGCAAGGACTAATTTTCACCACTCCCCTCTTGCTTAGACTGTTTACATCTTACTTGATTCGTGTTCTGCCCTGCTACTCCATCATTCCATTTCCCCAGCAGGTGAGTGGGTCTAGGAGAGGGAATATCATATTCTTATATCACTTATCATATTCTTATATGACTTACAGGATGCTCATATGAAAAGAAAACAATTATTAAATAATCTTCCTTCCTCCTGAGCTGAATATCAGGAGTTAGAAGGGTACAGACACTTGTTCATAGAGTTAGAAGACATGCTGACCTGTGATAGCTGCAGTAAAGATAAACAAGCCTTCTTCATCACCTCCTCGACAGGCAAGGTTACATGGAAGCAAGGGATTACCAGAATGAGATTTAGTCTTTTCTCATTATTTAGTGTCAAACACACCAGTAACAGGGTTGTAATATAAATGTTGTGAGACTTCTGCACTTTCCTGAAAGGGAGGGGTCATCACTGTAAGAGAGGAACAGCTAGGCAGCTGAAGGATGAAAGGGCCAGTAGGTTATATGAGCATATGACTTGAGCTTTCTGAGGTAAAAGGAGACTTGAGCAGGGGATGGTCATTCGATAGGTGGATCCAAGAGGTTTGGACCCTTTTTTCGGGTTGCTCTTGCTGAGTGATGGTTGTGTGACTGACGTGTTGGCTGGTGCTGATCCAAGTGTCTGGTGAAAATGAAAATGAAAGCTGAGGTTTGGCCATCTCCCTTTTTTCTTTCCCTTTTGCTGTAGACATTGTTCGCAGCGACATTGCCCTGGATAAGCAGAAAGGCTGTAAGATCGCCCAGCATCCTGACATAATGTTGGAGCTACAGAGGGAAAAGGCAGCTCAGATGCACTTGGTTTTGTTAAAGGAGCAGTTTTCAAACACATACAGCAACCTCACACTAACAGGTAAGGCTGCAAGACCAGCTCTGGAGCTAGAAGCTGGGCCTAGTTCTTGATAACTCACAGGTGTGTTAAAACCCTCTGGTTCTTCACCTCTATATGAATCAGCATCTCTCTGGCTGCTTCTGTTTCCTACCAAGATTGCTGGGTATTGGGAGGGAAAGGACCTGCAGGAACTGAAGGTGGACTCATAAGGCCTCCACAGCTGGCACCTATGCAGACACTCCAGATTTGGTGCCCCCGAACAGAACATTTTCTACAGTCTGACCTAAGCAGAATACCACAGCATTGAAGTGCTGAAGAAATCTCCCTGCTAACTGTTCACGTTGATGGGTCTGCAGCAATTACTAAATTTGGAGTCCTTTAAGCTGCAGCTGATTTTTTTTTCTTTCCAGAGCATGCACTTTGTGTGAACCCAGTAAATATTAAAGAGCAAATATAAAGGGATAATGGCCTAGACAGAGATGAGAGGATACTCTTTTTCTGGCAACTGTTTGTATTATCCAGAGAACAGACTCTCAAAGGATGGAGGAGACTGCCACATTTTGGATACACATTTAATGGTGCTTGTAAAGGACTGATGTCTTCAGGCAGTGAGTGGGCAGCAGGATGGGATCCCAGCAGCCAGCAGGGTCCTTTCATAGCTGTTCTCCTTATCACTACAGCTGGATGAGCCACAGATGATGGGAAGGAGGAAGAGACTAATAAATCAAATGAGATCCCCTTCTCCTCTTGACAGGTCTCTTTCCTGCAAAAGGCAGGCAGGCATCTGATTTTTATAAGAGGGAGGGCCCAGAGCTCTGTCTGGGGAGGAGATGGTGGCTCTTGTGTGCTGCTGGGCTGGGAGAGACAAACGGGTCCTGCGCAACCTCCCCCCTCTCTGCTGCCTCCCCTAATTCAATGTCCAGCCCCTGCCTTGAAGCCAGGATGGGTTTGTGTCTTCTCCAGTGTATCAGTGAGCTCTGGCACTCCTGGGGACATCGGCTGGGCTGGACCTCTTGGGGACCCCACAGAGGTGGGATGGTGATCTCAGCGCTGTCAAAGGGCTCAGCCCAGGGGGTCACTAGGCATTGGAGTGTGGCTGAATTGCATCATTCCTGAAGGCCCAGCATTTAAATGGGATCCTCAGAGCCGTTTCTCATTCTCTGTAATGTAATCCACTTGGCTGTTTATTCCCAGTACAACTGCTGGAATCAACATTGTCAGCTTTTCCCCTGACAACTTGCTTACTTTCCACTAAACAAACTTCCCTAGAGAAGTGAAGCTGCTCTCCCCTATCCTCCTTCCCTCACTGCTTCAAAAGCTCTCTGGCATTGCTCACATTTTTTACAGAACCTGCAGAGCAGAGGTGCTACCTGGTTATCAGCTTAGCTCTTAGCCTTTCCAAGTATGTTTACAGGATAGTTCAGAAGGTTTTAACTCTAGCTCTCCAGAGGAGAGAGAACAATTTCACCAGAATATTACCCAAAGAACTATTTTAATGTCCTTTAACTCCCTTTGAATGTGAGCAGAGCAACTTCATAATTGTTATGAAGTTTAATCTTTTATTTCATAGACATAGTCTGAGAACATAGACTCTAGACAGCTAAGCATAATATTTAACTGGAACTCTACGAACTTGTGTAAATATTTCCCTTCTCTGTGATGGATCTGGTGTTTGGGGTGGGCAGAGGGGGTTGTACATCTGTAAGAAGGTCATTTCTTACCTTCAAAAATCAATCAGCCAGAGTTTGCTTGAGGACTTCTTTTTGTTCTGCACAGTGGGTTTGTACAGTGCTATATAGGGAGTCCCCAGGTCATGAGGAAAGGTGTTGGAGCAAGAATGCAGACGTAGTTTAGGGAGGGACAGTGAAGAACTGAGTTTGCAGGGATGGAGTATCTGGCGAATCCTTGAGAAGAGGATTTCCTCCTGGGGATCTCCGTCTAGCAGTCACTTCTGACCTTCAGTGTCCAACTTAGACTGGAGGAATATTGAACCCCACACCACTGTGTGAGAGGGGTCCTACTACTGCTAGTTCTTGCAGCACTTTAACTGTACCAAAGAAATGTAAATTGAGTATCTTGCCCAAACTCATGTGAGAATAAAGATACTTTATGATGGGATAGGTACTCTCAGAGAGCTTGAGAGGCATTTTTATTCCCATGTTACTACCACTACCACTGTAGTGATTTGAACAAAATGTCCCATTCTCTACCTCCTCCTCCTCCCACATAACATAGTTATATGAACAACTTGAAAGACTATAGATCAGGCCTCCCACTCTGCCTACAAGTGTGGGCAAGAGATATGGCTGTCAAGCTTACATGCAGTGTCCTCATGGCTTTAGGAATGAAAGCACTTAAAGTGCAGGGAGTAGGATTCTGCAGTCCCTGTGGCATCAGTGTAAGTTGGGGGCTTTTTCAAATCTATTCACCAGTTGCACATAGTTCCCAGTGTGTTCCTTATTTCAGCAATCAGGCAGGGTCGTGTTGCGCTGCGCTGGGATTTTAAGCTGCTCCCAGCAGCAGGTACCTCCGAGGTAAGAGCGTGTCTTAAAATGAAATGTGTTTTTTTTGTGCTAAGACACAACTGAGACTGAGTGAAACCAGGCAGTCTTTCTGGCTCTCATTCCTCCAGGAACACATGTTAGACTCTGGCTTAGACCACTTCGGTTTCTCTTGTTGTGTGTGAGCATTCCTCGGCTCCTGTATGCAGGCTTTCTCTTGCATCTTGCCTCTGCTTTCTGTATGTGATCTTTCTAGGCTTACTGAGGCTGCCTCACTGACATCAGTGATTGCCTTTGATCTGCGACAGTGCTATTTAAATGCTGTAAAATATTTTGAGGTTTATTAATCTTTACTGTTTATCCCTTGGTGCTCAGAGATAGGTATCTCGTTTCACAGATCAGCATCTCTGGTGCTCCAGGGTGAGTCTGTGGTAGAGCAGAGGGAGACTGCACAGCATTACCTGCTCTCCTCTGGGAACTGGCTTTCTGAGCTCAGCCCACAGTGGGATAGAGGAGGAGAAGGACTCTTTCCCTAGAAACACTTCTCTCACTGGAGCAAGCAGTGATTCTTTTACATTTCGTATCAGATGGAATAGAAGTTGCAATCATCACAGCAGGCTCCCCTCCTTTGCAACCCTCAGGAGAAATGTTCAGCATTTTGGAGCCCTGGAACTGAGGGGTGAATGCACAGCATTGGGCTGGCAGCAGGTGAGGTGTGGGGAACTGCCTGGGGCAGTGGAGACACATCATGCATGCAGGTTTCAGGGATTGAGCTTGTGGGGAGTGGGGCAGCAGCAGGCAAAGCTTTGATAGATTAACTATGAACTCCTCCATTTGTGGTACCAGTTTGGGCTGGGGTAGTGTATTGCATTTGTACTTTAAGAGACTGGATATCCACAGGTTTCTGCACTATTATTAAGGAAAGCCTGTTAAGCCCATGGGAGAGGGGATTGTTCAGGTCAATAGACATATGTGAAAAAGTGTCCCCTCCTGTATTTACATGAAGTGTTAAGTGTAACTGAGCTTCCCAAGAAACAAGTACAGACTATAAATTTCCCTCTAAGAGTTCCCATCCAGAGGAAACAAAATAGTGCCCCACTTCTCATTCTGAACTGTGGAGAAACATCTTTCTGCTCTACCTTCTGCCTGAAGCTGCAACTCAGATTACTTCACTGCATCAAGAGACTAATGATGACAGCTCTCCAGCCTGTCCCACCACACCACGTCTGCGCTGAAAAAGAGAGCTCAGCTGAGGAGACCACAGGATGTGTGGTGGGAGCCCTCCATCCTGTAATATCACACAACACAGCCTTTGAAAGCAGCTGTTAAGAGGGCAGACCCTCTCCACAGGGCACATAATGCTCCACTGTGGACCCACAGTGGAGCATTAGCAGAGTGTCTCTTCCAACTGCACTGAAAGAGACTTGAAGGGATTAAACTCAGGTGGCAACTGCTACAAACAGAGCTGAGAGCTGCCAGAGAGTGCATTTCACTGTCTGTGTCCAACACTCCAATCAGAAGTTTTACACTGTTTTACAGTACCCTGTTAAGATAATTACATAGCTTAAACTCTGCTGTAACAGCAGTTGTGAGAACTGTGTGAGGTTTTTCTTTCAAAAAAAGTCTATTTTTGGAGACACTAGCCGCCAGGCAGAGGCCCTCTTTGTCCAAGGTAAGTGCTATGGGGACATGAGGCGATGGTGACCAAGTGTGCACACCAGCTTTTCACCAGTGGGATGTGTAATGGTGGGATGAGTGGAACAAAGCAGAGTGTGTGTGTGGCTACTGCAGAAAACTTATGTGAGGGAGGCACAGAGCAAAGATGAGGGCAGTGTGTCTGCATGAAGAGCTTTCAAGTGAGACATTGTCCCACAGAAATATGTTTTTTGCGTCTCCCCAAAGACAGCAAGAGCCAGAAGTGTACTTGTTCTTTGGCAGGGAATCACACGGCTCAGGTCGAGCACCTGTGAAATGTGTGTTTCCTGCACTTGTGAACCTCCCCTGGTGGTTTTGTGATTCCTGCTGAATGCTGTGGCTCTGGGAGATGGTGGTCCTGGAGCAGAACGTGTCCATAGCGCCTGGGACTCGTCCCGTTGAGTGGTGGGTCTGGAGAGGACCATGGCTCAGAGGCTGCCCTTGCAGGAAGTCTGTGCAGGAAGCGGGGCGTGGGGCTGGGTGTGTTTTTGGTGCCTGTGCTGCCAGGCAGCAAGGCTACTCTGGTTAATTTTGCTGGTGTTTTCCCCAGATGGGTTTTATCCCCAGCTACAGCTAACTCCATGGCGGGTGGGGGGCCACCTTGTGAGGTGGTACCTGAGAGGGTTGTTGCAGAGATAAGTACAGCTTCCTTGCCTTTTTGGCAGCTTGTTTGGGATCAGCAACCTAAATGTCCTGTGGTCTGCACAGCAGTCACATGTATCATAGCTGTTTTACTGCACAGGGGTAGTCTGCACTGCACTTGCTCTCCAGCTTTTCTTCAAGGAGAATGATCCCTGGGGCTGTGTAACAGGCCTGAGAGTGTCT